AGAGAAGAGAAAGTAGACTAGGGTGTTTTACGGACAGTTTATAAATATAGTAGTAACTATGACTGACATGCTTAGTGTACCAAGAAGCAAAGATGAATACAACACGGTCCTACCTATGAAAGAGGCTCATATGAAGCAGACATGTGTAGAAACATGCATGCAATACCATAAGTATTTCATTATATGAACAAACAGCTTTTAAAACACAGAATACAATTTAGTTATCTTGTTATAGGGAATAGGACAGGTTTCACAGTACATGGTAACATTTCAGCAGGTTTTTAGAGATAGGAAATATTTCCTCAGATGGACCAGAGCAGAAAAATAAATGGAACAAGGATATTAAGGAAGTTTCAGTTGTAAAGGCAAAACCAAAGTGATGTAAAGATACATAGTATCACCAGGAAATGGAGCTTAAGACAGTATGGCTGGAATATAGGCTAAAATGGGGGTTGGGGGGTAATTTTTTCAACACACTGAACTGTAGGTAAGAGCCTGCTTGTGGAGGTATTTAGACTATGATTTGGAATGAAATGGAATTCAGATTTTATTTTTAGTCAACTAGGATTCTACCAAAGGTTATCAGCAAGAGAGGGTCACTTCCTCATTTGAGAAAGAAATGTGCTTGTAGCAGGGAGAATGGCTTGGAGTAAAACTGGAATTAGCTAACTCTTTAGGAGGTCGCTAAAATAGTCCTGTTAAGATGTAATAAGCTCCTGAAGTTAAAGAGACTCTTTCAGACATGAGCTGACTAGGGGATTCACAGGTTCAGGGGTGGTTCTGACAGGTACACATCTCAACCATAATCTGAAGGAGAATGCTTCAGAAAGCAACATAATGTATTTAATTCACTTTTAGTTATGCATGAAGAGGATTTAAGAACTATCTTTTTGCAGTGCCTGGGTGGCTCAGTGGGTTAAGTCTCTGCCTTTGGGTCAGGTCATGATCTCGGGGTCCTGGGATTGAGCCCCACATTGGGCTCCTTCCTCAGCGGGGAGCTTGCTGCACCCTCTCTCTGCCTGCCTCTCTGCCTACTTGTGATCTCTCTCTCTCTCTCTCTCTCTGTCAAATAAATAAATAAATAAATAAATAAATAAATAAATAAATCTTAAAAACAAACTGTCTCTTTACACCCCCCCCCAGAAATATAGCTAAAATGCTAGGAGTGTGACATTCAAATGAAGATTTCTTCTGCCTTACATAGGGTTAGCGCATCTTCTGAATTTTATCTGCTTTTAGATTTAAGCTAAATATCGGGAGAGTCAAGTAGGATAAAGTTTTCTCATAGTGTGCACTGTTGAATCAGATAAATTGGATCAGAAGCAAAACTGAAAATGTCCTTAGAAAATATAGCCTGTCTCATATTCATGACTCCGTATTTCCACTGAGGGTTCCACACCAGTATGCCTCTCTGTGAAGACATAATTTCAACACAACCACATGTGTACACAGTTGTCCAATTGCAGGGACAATGAAACACCAGAGACCAGAGCCTTTGCAGTTTACACAAACGTACATTGTAAGTTAATAGGTTAATAAAATTCTAAAACTGAAGTCAAAGAATATTGCACAGTGGTTATTTCTAAAAGCAGTGTGTGTTTCCTTAAAATTCAATGTGTTCCTCTTTCATAAAAAAAGAAATAAAAGGAGAGAATATCAACATAATATTTTTAAGCAACCATTTCCTCCCCTCCTCTACTTCTAATAATTCGTTGAAAGTCATTTAAGTAAGGTGCAGCCGTTAGGTTACTGAGCAGAAAATGTTTCTTTTTTATTCTTATTGCCATCATATTTTGGTGAAATCTGAATCCTGTGTCCAATATTCTGCTACACCATCGACTCTTGTTTTCCAAATCCAAAAGCTGTTTTAGTCCTCGTTATTCTTGACTCTCCTACAGCATTTATCCTTTCAACAAGGTGTTCTTCCTCATCTCTTTAATACCTTTGTTTTCTGCCTCCTTCTTGATGATTCCTTTTCTCATCTTTATCACTTGCAGTTTGCATTTTCCTTCTATATGTTGGAACTTCCCAAAGGTATATTCTCTTCTTCTTCCTATTGCCTTGATTTTCTTCCAACTCTTATTACTGTTTCCTCTCTGCTGAACATTCCCTAGGAGGTAATGCTAGGTGCTGCCTTGCCATTGTGCATGTTATTGCCCCTTCCTAAAGGGATATCACCTTAATCTAATTTCTACTTATTTTTCAGATTTGAGGCCTTTGGAAACCTTTCCCATGTGTTACAGGGCATCTTGTGATACTTTTACAATAGCCTCCATGTTAAAGCTCTTATATATATGGCATTGGTTCTCAGAATCAGAGTGCCAGGCCAGTAACCTCACTGTTACCAGTGAACTTGTTGGAAATGCCAATTATGAGGTCCCAAAGCACATCAGCTGAATTAGAAACTCTAGGGTGTGGCTCAGGAATTTGTGTTTTAACAAGCCCTCAAAATGATTGATACAGGCTAGTCTGAGATCACTGGAGTATTACAATTGTCTGGCGTTTGGCTGAGTTCCCTACTTGATTATGGGCTGTTTTAGAAACTATGATGGACTCTCAGGGTGCCTGGGTGGTTCAGTCAGCTCAGTGCCAACTTTTGGTTTCAGCTCAGGTCATGATCTCAGGATCTTGGGGTGGAGCCTTACATGGGGCTCTGTGCTCAGCAAGGAGTCTGCTTGAGATTCTCACCCTCTGCCCATCCCCCTGCTCCTGCTGGTGAACTCCCTCTCTCTCTCTTTCAAATACAAAAATAAAATCTTGGGGCATCTGGGTGGCTCAGTGGGTTAAGACTCTGCTTTTGGATCAAGTCATGATCCTAGCGTCCTGGGATTGAGCCCCACATTGGGCTCTCTGCTCAGTGGAGGGCCTGCTTCCCCCTCACCCTCTGCCTGCTTCTTTGCCTACTTGTGATTTCTCTCTCTGTCAAATAAATAAATAAAATAAATAAAATCTTAAAAAAATAAATAATATCTTGAAGAAGAAGAAGAAGAGGAGGAGGGGGAGGAAGGATGGGGGAGAAGGAGGGGGAGGACGGGAGGAGGGGGAGGACGGGAGGAGGAGGAGGGGGAGGACGGGAGGAGGAGGGGGAGGACGGGAGGAGGAGGAGGAAGAAGAAACAACAACAACAAACATGGTGGAATCTTTTTAATACTGATGTCAGTTGCCAGTGTAGAATCTGCTACATTATTGCTACATAAAACCAATTTCTTTCACTGCATGGACAAATACATGGGTAAATAAATGAAAACTTTTTTATGAGGTCCAATTCTATATCTCAGGTAACTGTGGCTTGTGGGAGAGCCGAGTCACTTCAAAGCCAACCTAATAGGAAAGTTGATACCTAACACCCCTCATCAACACTGTCCTCCCAAACAGTTGAACATGTTTGTTTCTCTGATCCTGACTGACTTTTTTTTAACTCTCTGAATTCTCCTTTTCCAACAATGCTAAGATCATTTTCCCCATTACTGATGGAAATACCTTAGTAATCATCTTTCCTTGAAGAATAGCTTCATTTATTCTGAGTATACAACTAAAAGGTTTACCACAAAAAATCTGAAGAATTCAGTTACACACACAAATAAATAAAAAGCACTGGAAATTCCACCCCTCTGAGAGAACCAATGTTAATTGGTGCATGTATTCATTTAACTTTTATCCCTAGCATATTTGCATTTCAGTGTTTGCTGTGGAGCATAATATTTTGTAATCTACTGTTATTGCACTATGTTGGATGTATTTTCAGGTCCTTAGAAGGTAATTTTCCACAGATTTCTTAATGGCTGCATGATATTTTGGCAGTAATTGACCTATCCTCATCCTTCCTTAATTCATTGGAAGTTCTATCAAAACCTTTTCATTACCTCCACCCTTGCTGTCCAGGCTCCATCTTACTCCCAGAGCCTCTTGCAGTAGCCTCCGTTGCCAGATGAATTCTTCTAAAATTTAGTTCTGAGCAAATTGCTTGAAAGTCATAATGACTCCCCAGTGCCTTCCAAATAAGGGCACTGTCCTGAGCAGGGCCACCAAGTACTCCTGTTGATTTCTTTTGTACACCCAGTCTCTAGGTAAGACTGCTCACCATTCTCACAGCATTTCCTCTGTTTACTCTCCTTTTGAATTTTGCCTCTTCTCTGTCCCATCATTCTTTTTCAATAGCGATTTAACCTAAATGGCCAGTTTAGTGGGAGGCCTTACTGCAATCACCAACTTCCTACCCTCACCACCGCTTCATTCCTTATCCCCCTTCTTATATATTTTTCTCCTTGGTTCTTAAAACTATCTAACAGATCATATATTTTGCTTATTTAACTTGTTAATTGCCTCTGTGCTGTAACTGTAATAAAGGTTCCATGAAAGCAATGATTTTTGCTTCTGTCTTGTTTATTGCTATATCCTTAGAATCTAGAACAATGCTTAATACATGAAAAGCAATCAGAATATATTTGAGGTACTGAACAAATGAATGAAATAATTAATTAGTTAATTAATAATGAATATGCACTTGCAAATTTCTACAAGACCTCAGGGAAGCCAAAACTCTTATTCCAGTGCTTTGTGTATATTCACATTGTACAATGTGAATTCAAATGACTAGTTAACATGTTACTCTTCCTTGAAATCTTTCTTTAAAGCTTCTATCTAAAGACTATTGATCATTATTTGTGGTTATGACATGTATTGCATACTGAACTGAGATATATGTTGCCCTTCCCATTGAGTAATAAAGAAGTTCCTTACAGGCAGAGACCAATTATCTTTGTAGCTCTTGCAGTTCTTAGTGCATTGATACTCAATAAATAGTTCTAAAAATAATTAAATTATTGCCACAAATAAAATTAAATTCTTACCAAAAGTGAAGAGGGAGTTACAAGGGGATTTTTGCCATTTTCCCTGTTGTTAAAGATATATGTATTTTCTATTTTAAAGAATAGCTATTATCTCCACAATTATAACTATTTCCAAAGAAATCACTATGTGAACATTCTACATCTTTGCAGATCATTAATGCTGCACTTGCTTTGGCGGCAAGACCCAAAAGTCAAGTGGTCAAAAAAACCATGGAAATGTATAAGCACACGTGGGAGAATCATATCCATGTCCTCACCGAAGCTGTAGATGACATTACAAGCATTGATGACTTCCTTGCTGTATCTGGTATGTTTTTGATCTTTTAATTTATATATTTAATCTTGTCAATTCTCTGACACAGGATAATTCTGAATATAATTAATTTTATGCAGTATAATGAGATTCTTGTTAATGATCATCTTTCTCAAAGCAAAGTTTTGCTATTTGTCATCTACTCTAGGATAATAAGCCTCAAGCTTGCAGTCCTCACAACTCAACAATTTACATTGTGTCTCTAAAAGAAACTCCTATTCATAGACAAGGCATAATTGAAAATAGTAACTGGAAATCTTAGACATTTTCTAGCTTTTTGAATAAATAATCATTTTCCCCTTTAATATACTTATATCTTTTGATTTCTCTGTACTTCTTTTCCAACAGAATTTTTCTCCACTAGAAAATTTAGATAGATAGATAGACACACAGGAAAACTCTTCATTGATTTGAGATAGAATATGTACTTCAGCTTCCAGTATATGTATTTGAATATTGGTGATCTAAATAATCAAATAAGTCTAAACATCTGACTACATCAGTTACAGATGGGCTTGAAATTCCATGTCAAACCTACATGATTCTTTTATCACAGAATAGAATAGCATCCCATAGGATTATGAAATTACTCTCAGAAACATAACTCTGGTTTTGATTATATTGTTATAACAGCAAAGAACTAAATACTTCTGAATCTTCTTTTTAAATTTTCTTAAAAATTAAGCTTCATATTATAATAACTTACATTTTGGGGAAATTGGTTGTCTCAGTCGGAGGATCATGCAACTTGATCTCAGGGTTTTGAGTTTGAGTTCCATGCTGGGTGTAGAGATTACTTAAATGAAAACTTTAGGGTGCCTGGATGGCTCTTCGGTTAAATGCCTGCTTTCAGCTCAGGTCATGATCCTAGGGTCTTATGATTGAGTCCCTCACTGGGCTCCCTGCTCAGAAGGGAGCCTGCTTCTCCCTTTGTCTCTGCCCCTCCCCCTGCTCATCCATGTTCTCTCTATCTCCATCTCTTTCAAATAAACAAAATTAAAAATAAAATATTTTTTTAAATTATTTTTATTAACATATAATGTATTATTTGCCCCAGGGGTACAGGTCTGTGAATCATTAGGCTTACACACTCACAGCACTCACCATATCACATACCCTCCCCAATGTCCATAACCCAACCATCCTCTACATACCCCCTCTCCCCAGCAACCCTCAGTTTGTTTTGTGAAATTAAAAGTCTCTTGTGTTTTGTCTCTCTCCCAATTCCATCTTGTTTCATTTATTTCTTCCCTCACCCCACAACTCCCCACTCTGCCTCTCAAATTCCTCATATCAGGGAGATCATATTATAATTATCTTTCTCTGATTGATGTATTTCACTCAGCATTATACCCTCTAGTTCAAACCATGTCTTTGCAAATGGCAAGATTTTATTTCTTTTGATGGCTGCATAGTATTCCATATATATATATATATATATATATATATATATATATATATGATTCCATATATATACACACATACATCCTCTTTATCCATTCATCTGTTCATGGACATCTAGGTTCTTTCCATAGTTTGGCTATTGCAGACATTGCTGCTGTAAACATTCAGGTGCACGTGCCCTTTCAGATCACTACATTTGTATCTTTAGGGTAAATACCCAGTAGTGTGATTGCTGGGTCCTAAGGTAGCTCTATTTTCAACTTTTTAAGGAACCTCCATACTGTTTTCCAGAGTGGAACCAGCTTGCATTCAACCAACAATGTAGGGTTGAAAAAAGGGTTCCCCTTTTTCCACATCCTCTACAACATCTGTCATTTCCTGACTGGTTAATTTAAGTCATTCTGACTGGCGTGAGGTGGTATCTCATTGTGGTTTTGATTTGTATTTCCCTGATGTCGAATGATGTTGAGCACTTTTCATGTGTCTGTTGGCCATCTGGATGTCTTCTTTGCAGAAATGTCTGTTCATGTCCTCTGCCCATTTCCTGATTAGATTATTTGTTCTTTGGGTATTGAGTTTGCTAAGTTCTTTATAGATTTTGGATACTAGCCCTTTATCTGATATGTCATATGCAAATATTTTCTCCCATTCTGTCAGTTGTCTTTTGTTTTTGTTAACTGTTTCCTTTGCTGTGCAAAAGCTTTTGATCTTGATGAAGTCCCAATAGTTCATTTTTGCCCTTGCTTCCCTTGCCTTTGGCATTGTTCCTAGGAAGAAGTTGCTGTGGCTGAGGTCAAAGAGGTTGCTGCCTGTGTTCCCCTCAAGGATTTTGATGAATTCCTTTCTCACATTAAGGTCCTTCATCCATTTTGAGTCTATTTTCATGTGTGTGGTGTAAGGAAATGATCCAGTTTCATTTTTCTGCATGTGGCTGTCCAATTTTCCCAACACCATTTGTTGAAGAGACTGTCTTTTTTCCATTGGTCATTCTTTCCTGCTTTGTCAAAGATTAGTTGACCATAGAGTTGAGGGTCTATTTCTGGGCTTTCTATTCTGTTCCATTGATCTATGTGTCTGTTTTTGTGCCAGTACCCATGCTGTCTTGATGATGACAGCATTGTAATAGAGCTTGAAGTCTGGAATTGTGATGCCACCAACTTTGGCTTTCTTTTTCAACATTCCTCTGGCTATTTGAGGTCTTTTCTGGTTCCATATAAATTTTAGGATTATTTGTTCCATTTCTTTGGAAAAAAAAAAAGATGGTATTTCGATACGGATTGCAGTAAACGTGTAGATTGCTTTAGGTAGCATAGACATTTTCACAATATTTGTTCTTCCAATCCACGAGCATGGAACATTTTTCCATTTCTTTGTGTCTTCCTCAATTTCTTTCATGAGTACTTTATAGTTTTCTGAGTACAGATTTTTTGCCTCTTTGGTTACGTTTATTCCTAGGTATCTTATGGTTTTGGGTGCAGTTGTAAACGGGATTGACTCCTTAATTTTTCGTTCTTCTGTCTTGTTGTTGTTGTATAGAAATACAGCTGATTTCTGTGCATTTATTTTATATTTGACACTTTACTGAATTCCTCTACAGGTCCTAGCAGATTTGGAGTGGAGTCTTCTGGGTTTGCCACATAAAGTATCATATCATCTGCAAAGAGTGATAGTCTGACTTCTTCTTTGCCAATTTGGATGCCTTTAATTCTTTTTGTTGTCTGATTGCTTAGGCAAGGACTTCTAGTACTATGTTGAATAGCAGTGGTGATAATGGACATCCCTGCCGTGTTCCTAACCTAAGCGGAAAAGCTCTCAGTTTTTCTCCATTGAGAACGATATTTGCTGCGGGTTTTTCATAGATGGCTTTGATGATATTGAGGTATGTACACTCTATCCCTACACTTTGAAGAGTTTTTATCAAGAAAAAATGCTGTACTTGTCAAATGCTTTTTAGCATCTATTGAGAGTATCATGTGGTTCTTGTTCTTTCTTTTATTAATGCGTTGTATCACATTGATTGATTTGTGGATCTTGAAACAACCTTGCAGCCCTGGAATAAATCCCACTTGGTCATGGTGAATAATCCTCTTAATGTACTGTTAGATCCTATTGGTTAGTATTTTGGTGAGAATTTCCACATCTGTGTTCATCAAGGATATTGGTCTGTGATTCTCTTTTTTGATGGGATCTTTTTCTGGTTTTTGGATCAAGGTAATGCTGGCCTCATAAAATGAGTTTGGAAGATTTCCTTCCACTTCTGATTTTTTGGAACAGTTTCAGGAGAATAGGAATTAATTCTTCTTTAAATGTTTGTAGGATTCCCCTGGGAAAGTTTTTGGCCTTGGGCTCTTGTTTGTTGGGAGATTTTTGATGATTGCTTCAATCTCCTTACTGGTTATAGGTCTGTTCAGGTTTTCTCTTTCTTCCTGGTTCAGTTGTGGTAGTTTATATGTCACTAGGAATGCATCCATTTCTTCCAGACTGTCAAATTTGCTGGCATATAGTTGCTCATAATATGTTCTTATAACTGTTTGTATTTCTTTGGTGTTGGTTGTGATCTCTCCTCTTTCATTCATGATTTTGTTTATTTGGGTCCTTTCTCTTTTCTTTTCGATAAGTCTGGCCAGGGGTTTATCAATCTTATTAATTCTTTCAAAGAACCATCTCCTAGTTTCATTGATTTGTTCTACTGTTGTTTTGGTTTCTATTTCATTGATTTCTGCTCTGATCTTTATGATTTCTCTTCTCCTGCTGGGTTTAGGCTTTGTTTGTTGTTCTTTCTCCAGCTCCTTTAGGTGTAGGGTTGTGTATTTGAGACCTTTCTTGTTTCTTGAGAAAGGCTTGTATCGCTATATATTTTCCTCTCAGGACTGTCTTTGCTGTGTCCCACAGATTTTGAACAGTTGTGTGTTTTGTTTTGTTTTGTTTTTAACAGTTGTGTTTTTATTTTCATTTGTTTCCATGAATTTTTTCAATTCTTTTTAAATTTCCTGGTTGACCCATTCATTCTTTAAGAGGATGCTCTTTAGCCTCCATGTATTTGGGTTCTTTCCAAATTTCCTCTTGTGACTGAGTTCTAGCTTCAGACACTGTGCAGGGAATATGCAGGGTCACCCTGCATATATGCAGGGAATGATCCCAATCTTTTGATACTGATTGATACCTGATTTGTGACCCAGGATGTGATCTATTCTAGAGAAGTTCCATGTGCAGTAGAGAAAAATGTGTATTCTGTTGCTTTGGGATGAAATGTTCTGAATATATCCGTGATGTCCATCTGGTCCAGTGTGTCATTTAAGGCCTTTATTTCCTTGTTGCTCTTTTGCTTGGATGATCTGTCCATTTCAGTGAGGGGGGTGTTAAAGTCCCTGACTATTATTGTATTATTGTCTATGTGTTTCTTTGATTTTGTTATTAATTGGTTTATATAGTTGGCTGCTCCCATGTTGGGGGCACAGATATTTAATATGTTAGATCTTCTTGTTGGACAGACCCTTTGAGTATAATATAGTGTCCTTCCTCATCTTTTATTATAGTCTTTGCCTTAAAATCTAATTTATGTGATATAAGGATTACCACCCCAGCTTTCT